TGGCAGAGTTTCTTATTCCGTATGTCAAAATTCTGCTTATGAAACGCATTAAATGGTATACTTGAATTTTTTTCAGTTCTTTTGAATCGTTATCTGCAGTCCGTTGGCAGAACTGTTTGCTTCCTGGCAAACTATTGCTACAGTTTTATTTTGTATTCGTGCCTCTTCTGAGTAAGTGGGTTTGTGTCCAGAATTTTTATAACATCATTTGAGATATGATGTATCTGTCAAATTGTTCGCAGTGAAGCTAACTGGGGTCGAAGGATTATTCGAGCTTCAGTAAATTTAAAGTGCAATAACTATTTAAGTGCGAATCTATGCCAAAGGTCGTATCTGGATGTCGCTTCATTGCCGCGATAGGTTTTTTTAGTTTCCTAGCAGTGCGGCTTTCGTATTTGATGAATTCCTCTTGAACAAAGATACAAAAATTTGCCTTTACAGTCAATCCTTACGCGGAATTCGTTCAGGACAACAGCTGTTGTGCAATTGACTTTCGTACTGTTAATTAAACATGCAATAAGGAGTTGGTAAGGCAGAAAGAAAATTACTAGTATACCAGCAAGTTAAATAAAAATTCGGAATTAAGAGTTTCAACAGAAAATACAACTAGCTTCCAATGCTTGAATATCACAACACGATCTGTAAAATCAATATTTGTTTGAATCAGAAATTCGCAATCCCCATTTCATCGCTAACCATAGTCTTGATGTAGATGTTGCTATAAATCATGCAAACAATTGCCTGGCATGCTTATTTTCAAAATGCTGAATTTACTGAAATGAAATTGCCCGTATAAATTTGCAAACGAACGAAAACAAAAGGTCAGCATTCATTATTGGTTGACATTGTAGAAGCAGTCAAATCCTGGCCAGTGTGAAGTAGGGAGGCACCCATTTTCTACTGTGCCTTGACACAGAAATTGCCTATAGACAACTTGGTAAAACTGCATACTTCGTCCCACTGAACCCAAACCACAAATCCAGTGAAAAAAGTCTGGTCATGTAATCAGGTAATAAATATACTTGATTGAGTTTTCCCACAGGTAGATGCGATTATACGATTTTCAATCGCCTTGCAACCTTCACCGAATATGGCAATTGTCACGCATGGGTAATATTCCGTTTTAATTTTAGTTTAAATTCAGCATTTACTTGTTTTAATGCATTATTTATTGAAAAGCCAACGATTCATCACGGCGTTAAAATTTTTCGAAAAATGCGTCACTTTAATGAATACAATTTCATGTTCTTTGGAAACATGAACTAAGTGTAGTAGAACATGGATTTTGCGTAGAAGTTCCAAACGGAATTAATTGCTCGCTTTAACTGGTTTGTCTAGATTGTCTGTTGCAAATATACGGAAGGGATCTGCTTTTGACTCAGGTTGTCTATTGTCGAAGCTAAAACTTAACACAGGATCGAAAACGTTTCAAACATTTTCTGGCGCGTCTGTCTGTGGAACCCGAAAGATGAAGCGGTCATGAAAGTTTAAGACGACGAAGATTTTTTAGTGTATTTAAACGTATCTTTGAAGAATCACTCATTGTATCCTGCAAACAGCATTTCTGTACTGTAGATATCCTGCGCGCTGTTTTCTTCATCGGCATGCAATGCCATTTATTTACATCAAAATTTCAACTTTTGCTACCTAACTTTCTGACCTGATTTTGTCTTTCTTGTATGCTGGGTGTTTTATGGAGTAACGTTATTACGTATTTTAAACAATTGTGATAAAAATATTTTTCTGTCAATCCGTATCAGTATTTGATATTATTAATATATTATAGATTGTTATATTGATACTTGTTTTTCATGTGTTGTTAAGCACAGCAACGGTTCTGTTATAGTCTTCTGTAATTACTGTGGAATCTCTGCCAACAGTCGGCTTTGGGGAAGGCAGTCATAGGGCAGATAAATTATTGTTATTTAATAAGCCAAGTTTTCGAACAATCAACGTCCCTTCATCGTTGATGACGTGCACAGTTATTCCAGTTCAAGACGTTCCCCCTTCCCCTGAAACAGGTTTTCGACTGTCAGGTTACTTCGTTCCTGCAGCGATTAAATATTCCTTCGCTTTCAGTTCCATTACCTTTTTAATTTCAAATAGTTCTGCCAAATTTACATGAAGTGTAAACGTACGGTTGTAATGAAAGATTTTTCTTTTACTTTCTACCAATGCTGCGGTATAGTTAGATCGTTTACACCTGTTATACCGCAACATTGTGTCGTCTTCTTTCTCCTAGTTCCCTAAGTGGCCATTTAGGCAGCGACGGCTTCATGATATCTAAAGCACCTGCAGTGCGTTACACGCACGACCTCGTCTCTGAGTTAGCTTAGTTTTGTTTTCGCCGTGTATCCATTACCACTATTTGAAATGTTACATTTGCCGGAGGTATTGACAGCTCTTATTCGTAGATGTTCCCGCTTAACATCGTGGCTGCATCTTCTTTTATTTTGGTTAGCTTCGGTTAACATGGTTAGTTTTCTTTGTTCCGTTATGCGTTTTTCTTGAATGTGGAGCATGTATGTGTCTATTTTCACGTTTTCGGGTTTTCACCGTTATATTCTATTCAATATAAGGTAATAATAAGGGAGTTTTATCTACACAGTAGAAAAGTATGAGTATCCAATAGAAATCGACACTGCACCTGCCTATTACGGAATGTTAATCTACTGCAAAGCATTGCTGAAATGCTTTCCACTTCTTGTTTTAGCATGTCCCTTAAGATATTTCCAGCTCTGCTGGAAATGCTAGGATCTGTTTCCAGTATGGGGAATAAGCCTTTGAAAATCTTAAAAATTAACAAGTGCAGAAAAATGTTGTAAATCCTGACTTCTTTAAGTTATAGTCCCTTTTCAGGCCGAAAAGGTGTTCCTATTTCAACATACAAACGTGCAGACAGAATGGAACATCGTTCTGTTTGCCTTAAGCTGTCACACTTTGCGTCAAGACTTTGCATAGGTTTTAAATTCTGCTTAGGTGAATTTTTGTTTTGATTTTGCAGAATTATTGGTGTTCGAACGATTGCATTTATTTCTCCAGTTCACACGCTTTTATTTTTTAGCACGTGGATGCGAAAATTGATTCGTTTATTCTGAATCATTTGAATCAACGGAAGCGTTTTTATGATCTTGCACTCGGATTGTTGTCCGTACTGTTAAACTGTCCGTTGGATGATTGACAATGATCTACGTTTTTCTACATGTGAGCATTCATTTTCAGCCCAACCCAGGTCATCTGTGTAAATAATATGGCAGAGAATTTAACCCTTGCCGGTTGTTGTTTTTCTCTTTAACAGGACGTTTTCGTTCACAATTGTTATTCTGTTGCAATTTAGCCCTGATTTAATTGGCTTCTAAGTGTTGGCTGTGATGCGTAATTAGCTGAAAGCTTTCTTCGGTGAGCTGAAGTTTCATAGTCACTTTTCCATGAGA